AGTACACATACACAGTACACACACACACACACACACACGAACATATATATATATATATATATATATATATTTATAAACACATGCATTTCATATACAATATACTTAAACATAAACATATACATATACATATACATATACATATACATATACATATACAATATACATACACATATACATATACATATACATATACATATACATTTACATATACATATATATAGACATACACATATACATATACATATATATATACATATACATATACATATGCATATACATATACATATACATATACATAAACATATTCGAAAACCCACACGTCAATTGCACTCACCTATCTACCACTACCACTCCCTTTCCGATACCGTCTCCCCCAAGTTCCCCACTTAGTTCACTCTGTACAAGTCAACTACATCCACACACCTACCACTCGCGCTCATCTCCCCACATCGTATCGTACCCTCTTCAGTCATGCAACAACGTGCCCAGATGAGTGAGTTAAACAGCACCGAGGGTATTGACGGCAGCCCAGCCGCCATGCTTGCGGGTGGGTTGGTAGAGTCTGACTCTGAGTTCTCAACCAGTGACTCGGAAGGCGAAGACCTGCCTGAGCTGAGCGCTGGGGCAGATAGCAGTGCAGCTGGGTCAGCGGAGACGTATGCGGTGGTAGCAGCCAAACAGACCCAGCACGAAGGGGAGGTGGCGGAAGTACCGAACTGTGCTGTGCAAGGACACTCGGGGGGTGCACCCGATACTAAGGCAGGGGTGCCAGGGGATGAGGGCGATATATCGGGACAAACCCAAGATAACCCAGCAGAAGACCTCGAGAGCTCGGTCGCTGGCTGTGAAGGTTTGACTGCGGCCACGGCCACGGATACGCATACGGTTACATCGGTTGCTAATAGGTCGGGGGGTGCTCATGAACCGGTTAACGGGGAGAGTGAGGGCCAGGATACAGGGTCTACAGAGCCCCATGAGCTTAAGGACGAGGACAGACAAACCCAAGCCCAGGCTGGGAGTGTGGAGAGTGAGAGTGAGAGTGAGAGGGAAAGGGGACCGGTACCATTAGACGCGGACAGCGCTATAGGGCGGCGGGCGAGTGCGATAGGCGCGCAGGAGCAGCTAGTTAACCAGAAAGCAGAGATTGTCAGTGCACAGATCAAGGCCCTGGAGGAGCACGTACTGGCGGTAGACGGACAGATGGAGGCTGTAGGTAGGCGTCTGCGGGCTATGGATGCGGCAGACGAGGTGGGGACTCAGGAGATCGCCGAGGTAGACGGGCAGGTACAAGCAGTCAACCAGGAGGTGATGGATATAGATAAGCACGTCACAGCGGTCAACGAGCAGGTAGATAGCGTGGATGAGCATGTGCGGGTTATGAACACGCATGTGCGTGCGCTGGAGGCGCATGTGCATGCCTTAGGTGGGGACGAGGGTGTGCCCGGTATGGGCTCGCACGTACAGGCGCTAGATGAACAACTCAAGTCCGTCAACGAGAGCATCTCCTGTATGGACACTCAACTGTCGGCGGTGGACGAGATCATCGGGTCAGTGGGTGAGAAGGTCAAGGCGACGAACGCGCATGTGCTGGATGTGATTGAGCAGAATACGCCAGACAGCGATAGTAGCAATGGGGTGGGACTGGGCGAAGGGGTGGCTGGTGCTGGGTGTGATTGGGTAGATACGATAGCCAGCGTTTGAAGATCCCGGCACAAGGTCAATTATTAGCATCATATATGTACAAGCATCAACTATTTCCCGTGTGTGTAGATAAGCACTCTTGTCGTAAAATTATATTAAAGCGAATGCAACGACTTGGAAGGGCCATTTGTTGCACTGCTGAGGGAACACTGTGTGACTGACAGTTTAGTTGGTGGGCGATGGTGCGTGATCCACTCGCCAAGTCTCACTCACACCATTGCACAGATGTATTAACGGTATATGAAACATTGAAAACAAACATCTCCACAACAACCTGTCTGCTGTATATGTAAGTAAAACATTGGAAGCGATCTCGCCGGCAAACTATCTCTTTCTGTATCCTTTTTGGTCACATATTCCATGTATAAAGACCACTGACTGCTATACAATATTTGTGCAGTCTATTGCATTGCTGCCGCACAGTGTTTATGTAGTGTTAGCACTGCCACCTGATACATATCACCCCCAAGACTTTTTAACCCCCCTGCAATCCTGAGTTATATCCGTTGTGATCTGTCATAGCATCTTGAAAAATATAGTACAAACTTGGACTGAAGTTGAATAAATGCACTGTACGATTTCCCTTTCGTCATGTCTTTGTACAGCATAGATTACTGTGGAAGCGTTCGCGATCTGAACCTTCATTTGATTCGAAGGTGTCGATATGAGAATGAAATAGTGTGTATATAGAGACGTACACGCCAGCACAAAAGCAATCAATTGCGCCTGTTTTGGTAGCAGAATGTGGTATGCGTTGATATGTTTATTCAGTATAGTGGTGTTATATGTATATGCGTTGATATGTTTATTCAGTATAGTGGTGTTTATAGGTATATGCGTTGATATGATTATTCCGTATAGTGGTGTTTACTGTATATGCGTTGACATGTTTATTCGGTATAGTAGTGTTTATATGTATATGCGTTGATATGTTTATTCAGTATAGTGGTGTTTAATGTATCTTCACGGAAGGTACGTGCTATCATTCGACAATCATCAAGCCCACTGTATGTTGGTCATGAAGAGTATTATAAAATTTACTGCTGGTTTTCAATGGTGTCGTATAGCTCTGTGATCTGATCCTTGTATTTCTTGGTCGCATTCACTCGCTTCAGCTTGAAGGTGGGTGTGAGCAATTCATTGTCAATGCTGAATGCCTCCGGCTCTACAATGAAGTCTCTGAGCTTCTTGAACCCTTTGAGCTTGCACTCCTTGTGCAGGTCCTGTATCTCTGAGGCCAGCATGGCTTTCAACTCTGGCGTGGCAGCGATACTCTTGGCATCACCAGAGATGATGTTTTCCTTTGCCCAAGCCACAATCATCTCAGCATCGGGCACCACTACGGCCACAGGGTGGGCGTGGAACGAGTCACCTGTCACAAACACTTGCACAATATGGTCACACTTGTCGTACATAGCTTCGAGATTCTCAGCGGCTAGATACTCGCCCTGGGACAGCTTGAAAATGGATTTCTGGCGATCGTTGATCGATAAGGTGCCATCTGCGCGATTTCCTCCTTAGTTTTCTTGGGGTTCTTCAGGTACGAACCAAAGACATTGGTACCCCTCACACACACCTCACCACGAGGGCACTCATCGGTTGTCAAGTAGTTTATTTCAGGAATACTCACCACCTTAACCTCATTGGAAGCCTTGGCTGAGCCCACATGCCCGAGCTTCATGCCGTTGTAGTGGGTTATGGTAGCACCTGCTGTTGTCTCAGTTAATCCATTGCCAACCATGATAACTGGACACACACACACACGCAGAAACTCGTGTATCGCCGTTCCGAGGGGTGCAGAGCAGGTGATAATCCACTTGACACGTCCACCCAGCGCCATACCCATTCGATCGAACACTTTCTTATTAAGCATAGGGGTGTCTTCTCCACGCTCCAGAGCTGCGAGACGCATGTTATAGGCGTCCTTGAAAGCAATCTCTTTCTCGGGCCCTCCGGCCTTGACACCTTGATTGATCTTGTCGTAGATTCGCGAGAGAATGCGAGGTACAGCGACGAAGAAAGTAGGTCTTAACGTCTGGATATCCAACATAAGTTCAGGCAGTTTGCCTTGGTAGAATCCTATGCTACAACCCTGGCTGACGCATAGCGCCTGTATCACCCGTTCGAATATGTGAGCTAAGGGCAGGAATGAGAAGTGCACATCCCGATTGCTCACATGGAGTCGTCTCTGAAGCGACACTACATCGGACATCACATTGCTATGGGTGATCTGCACACCTTTGGGGTTTCCTGTGGTGCCCGATGTGTACATTAGCACGGCAACATCCGATGCAGTGGGAGGATCGTGTGGGAACACATTCTCCACGCCCATGTCCGTTAGCTCGTACAAGTTGAGCAGCTCAACGCCCGCTTTCACGAATTTGGCCTTGTCCTCCGCTGTAACAACATCAAAGCAAATGGCGTACTTGAGATGTGGTAGACCCTTTCCAATCGCTGCAAGGACGGACTCAAGACGAATCTTTTCGAAGAAGGCCGCTACCATTTCACTGTGCTCCATCACGTAATGTACCGAATCGGGACCAAGTGTGTCGTAGATTGCGACGGATGGTAGAGTATAGGACGATAGAGCGTGATCACTCAGTGCCCATTCCATTCGATTCTTGGAGTATAGACCGACAGTCTGGTTCTTTTTAACGCCTAGGCTCTTCAGTCCTGAGCCGATTTGTGTAGCAGTATCACTAGCCTCCTTGAAGCTTACGAATTCGTATGCACCAGCGCTTGTGCTACCATCTTCATTGTAAACCACTTTGCGCTCACCCAAATAAGGACGGTCTGGGTTCTCGTCAACGGTGGTTTGGAAACTCTCGTTTGTTGTGCAACGCCCGGGCGTGTCAGCCAACTATTGAGCGGGCCAGGTGGCTTCTCCATCTACATAGTATGGGAATCGATGAGCGGATGATCCCCAGTCGGCACCAGCTGCGACAACACTTTGCATTTGTAGCTCTGTGTTCTGAGGGTTAGGGAAGCAAGCTTGCTTCTCTTGGGGGATTGCTTGCATGTTACCCATATTTGCACGATTTGGATTTGTCTTTTGAGTGTATTGTATAGTAGTAATTCAAAACTGAGTTACACCGGCTGAGATGCGCCTTTAAATACTTACGTGCTTTCAGAGACACGCATGGAACTCGCTGGGATGATAAATGTAGATACATTCACGTAAAGGCAGAATATTTACATCGATTTGTTTTATTTGTGTGAGTGTGCTTGTGAGTGTGTATACATGAGTGAGTATTATTACACGTGCCTGTACATTTAAATGGTATTCCTATAAAATGGTTTTGGTATATCAACGTACAACTTTTTTATGTATGTTTCTGATGTACCAACCTTTACCAAATTTTGAATATGAAGTAGGCAGAGGTATACGTTTGTGATTGAGTTTTATTGCGCTACTGAAGTATATTACAGCCATTTTTAACCAAGATCTGTGGTCGATTCAGCCGCGCAAGCGTTGGCTTTCCTTCGGTAAACAATTGTTGTGCCCCCGACGCCTCCAACCAAGCCAACAATTAGTGCTGCTATGGCAACACCTACTACAGCACCCACACTCAGACCTTGGTCCGGGCAGGACTGATCGACGCAGCTAGATTCAGCGTTGCTAGATGCAGCGTTGCTAGATTCAGCGCAGTTACATTCAGCGCAGATACATTCAGCGCAATTAGATTCAGCTGTAGATGTCTGTGCCGCTGTTGTTTGGATCAAACTGGCAGGGTATGTCTTCTGGGTTCATTCGAATCTCCAGACCCTGGAGAAGCATTTGTTTCGCTGATCTCTTCCATACCTAGGCCTAAGTTAAGCAAACGAACAGCCTGGTCATGGGTGAACTTGATAGTGTCACGATAATTTTCAAGATGTGCGACAACAGCAGCATTGCCATATTTAGGCCAGTGATGCTGTCCAATCATGTTCTCCGCTTTGGAACCATAATGATCTAAGGTCTTCTGGAGCGCCGCAACCCACTTCATAGTATCCCGACCTTCCGCACCTCTGGGCGTTCAGAAATTATGCTTCCGCATAACATTATTTTTCACCCATATTAAGTAATTTCAACTCGGGAACAAAGAAGTGAAACTCACTGGGTGCTTCTGTACTCATAGTCATCAGGAATTGATATTATTTGTCTATTTTATCATTGAACAGCTGTCTACATTTGGTTAATAATAAAAAAGGACAGAAACTCCGGATACCTATTGAGATGATTTATGTAGAGATGCGAGAAAGGTTTATCATTGAACAGCTGTCTACATTTGGTTAATAATAAAAAAGGACAGAAACTCCGGATACCTATTGAGATGATTTATGTAGAGATGCGAGAAAGGCAAGCGATGTGCCGGTGTATAAAAGGAAGACATCAGTATTACATCAACATACGAGTCGTAAAGCACACTCATCGTCCTAACAATGCTTAGGTATACAATCGCAGCCGCAGTAGCAGCTGGTGCTTATGCATCGCTGGATGCTTCCTACAAGCCAGCCAGCGATTTCACAAAGGCTGAGATCGCAGAGTCTGTCAAGAACCTCGACTTCAGCGACTATACAATGTACGAGGAGGTTGACCGTGGATTTGTTGTCGCACCAGACACGACAAGAATCATGGATACAAGCGGCGAAAATGTAGCTATCGATTCCGACGCCATCATTGCGCTAGTTACGCCTGATTCCACCGTATGTCCTGACACCGTCAACCCCTCCACATGGCGACAGGCACAGTTTATAGCGCGTACTGGCGTCTACAAAGTGCAAGACAAAGTGTATCAAGTACGTGGTATGGATCTGGCTACAATGACTATCATTGAAGCTCCTGAAGGACTCATAGTGGTAGATCCACTTGGCAGCTCCGAGCCTTCCAAGATAGCATTCGACCTATATTTGACACACGTTGGTCCCCATACCGGTGCCAATCTAACACTACGCAGTGTCATTTTCACACACTCTCACATCGATCATTTTGGCGGAGTCCTCGGGCTCGCACCAGAGGAATCCTTTACTAACGGATCCATTCAAGTGGTTGCTCCTTTAAACTTTGTTGAAGAAGCGCTGTCCGAGAACTATATGGTCGCCGGATCGATGTTTCGACGCGCGTTTTACATGTACGGAAACCTTATCAAACCTCATGCCCAGGGCTCGATCCATGCTGGACTCGCATTCGGTGCTGCCAACTCACAGTTTGGCTTCGTGGCACCCACCCTCTCTATTGACACCGATCTTGAACACCATACAGTAGCTGGACTGGACTTTGAATTCATGCTGACTCTGAGTACAGAAGCGCCAAGTGAGTTTCACTTCTTTGTTCCCGAGTTGAAATTACTTAACACGGGTGAAAATGCTGTTATGGGGATGCATAATTTCTTAACGCCCAGAGGTGCGAAAGGTCGGGATACTATGAAGTGGGTTGCGGCGCTCCAGAAGACCTTAGATCATTATGGTTCCAAAGCGGAGAACATGATTGGACAGCATCACTGGCCTAAATATGGCAATGCTGCTGTTGTCGCACATCTTGAAAATTATCGTGACACTATCAAGTTCACCCATGACCAGGCTGTTCGTTTGCTTAACTTAGGCCTAGGTATGGAAGAGATCAGCGAAACAATCGTGTTGCCAGTTTCATTGGATTCCAACTTCAATACTCGAGGTCACTACGGACATCTCAAACACAACTCCAAGGAGGTATATCAATTCTATGTTGGTTGGTGGGACGGTAAACCCGCTACCTATCAGCAACTTCCTCCGGTCGAGCGTGCACAGCAGTATGTTGCCGACATGGGAGGAAATGCAGAAGTACGAAAGAGGGGCGAGTGGCACCGTGACAACGGAAACTACAGATACTGCGCAGAGATCATGAACCACGCGGTTTTCAACGATCCCACGGATATGGAAGCAAAATACCTGGAAGCTGATTGTTTGGAACAGATCGGCTACAGTGAAGAGAGTGGGCCTCGCCGCAATTATATGCTTACTGGGTCTGAAGAGTTACGGCACGGAAAAGGGGCTTACCCACCCGCTGACCTTGGACCGTCGTTTATTCTGAACATGCCATTGTACATGCTTCTCCAGGGTCTGGAGATTCGAATCAATCCCGAGCAAGCCAACAAAGCGCAAGGACTATCGATCTCGGTCGGTGTTGAAGAAACCAACGAGATGTTCAACGTGCGCATCTCGAACTCGGTCATGCTGTCACTACCTATCACCGACATGAATCCACGCTCCGGGTCTACGGCCAGTTTCACAGCCAAAACCAGATCTGACCTCATCGCTGCTCTGGTCACCGGAAACTCTTCGCTGGTCAGTGTGACTGGTGATGTAGATGCACTCAAGGAGTTTGCTAGTTGCATATCCACTGATGAAGACGCAACTTGGAATGTGATGACTCCTAGAGACTTTTACAAACCCAAACCACAGAAGACATACCCTGCCAGTTTGATCCAAACATCAGCGGCACAGACATCTATAGCTGAATCTAATTGCGCTGAATGTATCTGCGCTGAATGTAACTGCGCTGAATCTAGCAGCGCTGAATCTAGCAACGCTGCATCTAGCAACGCTGAATCTAGCTGCGTCGATCAGTCCTGCCCGGACCAAGGTCTGAGTGTGGGTGCTGTAGTAGGTGTTGCCATAGCAGCACTAATTGTTGGCTTGGCTGGAGGCGTCGGGGGCACAACAATTGTTTACCGAAGGAAAGCCAACGCTTGCGCGGCTGAATCGACCACAGATCTTGGTTAAAGATGGCTGTAATATACTTCAGTAACGCAATAAACCTCAATCACAAAACGTATACCTCTGCCTACTTCTTACTCAAAATTTGGTAAAGGTTGGTACATCAGAAACATACATAAAAAGGTTGTACGTTGATATACCAGAAACATTTTATAGGAATACCATTTAAATGTACAGGCACGTGTAAATACTCACTCATGTATACACACTCACAAGCACACACGCACATATATATAGACACAAACACATACACGCATATACAACCCCCCACACACATACACACGTGTTATACATATATATAAATATACGTGTTTCTGAATATATATATTTATATATATATATAGTATATATAAACAATATATATATATATATATATATATATATATATATATATATATATA